TAAAACATTGATTAGCTGCCTTTCTTCCTAACGGAACTCGAGGTGGCTTACAGTATAAATAAAACAATGACTACAAAAAACACACAACACGTAAAACAACAAGTATAAAAACACACAAAAGGACACAATTTAAAAACCTCCAATTAGGACTGTCAATAAATACAAAGGCTCTATTTGTAGCAGGAACTCCTTTGCATAACTCCTTTGCATATTAGGCGACACACCCCTAATGGAGCTAATCCTCCAAGAACTTACAGTAGCCCCTGTAAGAAAAGTTCTGTAAGCTCTTGGAGGATTGGCTACATTAGGGGTGTGTTGCCTAATATGCAAAGGCGTTCCTGCTACAAAAGAGCCGTCAAACTATCAGTCAAATGCAGTCCTAAATAAAACTGTCTTCAGCCACATCCTGAAAATCAACAGTCAGGGGGCCAGGCACATTCCCTGGGAAGGTTGTTCCATAATCATGGGACAATGACCAAAAAGGCCCTCTCTCGTGTACCCACCAAACAAGACTCTGATTGGTGAGACAGTCAAGAGGGCCTGTCCCTATGGTCTTAATTCCCAGGCAGGAACAATGTACAATGTAAACAGAACTTTAAAATACACAAAACACATAAAAGGCCATGAATTAAAACCACAATTTAAAACCAAGAATTGGCAGAGAACTAAACTAATTGAATGCTGCCATCGTCAGCTCTCTCCTAAAGATTGAGAGTCACTGGTTTTGTGAACTTAGCTAACACCCATACTGAACCCTAAATCCTTGTTCTGTCCTGGAAGGGGGGTGAGTAATAATGGTCCTTTCCGCACTTGGATCTCATCCCTGGTTTTATCAGAGTTCAACTCGCGACACCATACCTTGAATGTGAAGGGGTAGGTTCAGTCTGAAAGGAAGGTGCCTGATTCAGAATTTTGCACCGTAGAGTTGTGAATGGAGTTAATTCATTCCCCCTCTTAATCTAATTCCCCCTCTTCTTTCCAGCAGGGCTCCTGGGCTGCCAACAACTTCATGGATGGCAAAAATTCAGAGAACAAAACATTTTCTATCTCATATCTGCAGGTTGCGAAAAGCCTCTGAATTTCTGTTTTCTGTGCAGCTTTTCTGTGCATGATCTGCCCAGGGGTCATTTCGTAGTAAAAGAGCTAGGGGGACTCATTAGCATAACTCATTAGCATATGCCACACCCCCTGACATCACCGGAAGTGTGTCCTCCCCACAGCCGGCGGCGACCTCCAGCGGGCACCAGCAGGGAGCTCCAGGCCCCGCCCTCCCACACCTCACCCGGGGGGGATGGCGTCCCCCCGCGTCCCCCCCCCCAAATGACCCCTGCTCCAAAGTAAACCAGAGAGAGATCTGGATGAGAATTTTGGAGGTATCCCTACAGTGATCCCCGGAAGCATCCCTGCCCTGTTAGATAACTCTTTACTTTCGAAACCAAATGGATCCCAAGTTACCTTAAACCTCCTGTCGTATTTCGTGACTGAGTCAGCAAAATCAATCCTCTCTCTTTTGGTCAGGAACTGACGCAACTCGGGTTTGTCCTCCATTCCCAGATAATCGCCGACAAAGTTACGATTGATGCTGTTCCTCCGCCGTTCTTTGAAGTTGTACAGGATGTGGGACGCTGCACAGAGTAAGGGGGAGAAGCGTCCGGTTTGAGACATGACCGGTGGGCCAGCGGGGGATATCCCAAGTATGGAATTAGACCCTGGGCACCACACTCAGCGAGCACCCCCCCCCCAAATCAACATTTAAAACAAACAAGGCATGATCAGTCCTCACCTTCTTCTCGCATCTGTTCGTATTTCCGGATGGCGATGTGTCGACGCCAGGCTTTCTGGATGATCCGGGCATAGCCATCAAATTTCCGTTCCCTCATCTCCTCTAGGAGGAAGAGCTGGTTGGAGGAAAGAGAGCATGTGATTTCAAACTCGGGCGGCAGATATAAAATTGGGGTTATCCTCTTTTCAGCTGGTCCCTTCCCTTTGCATCAAGCATCCTAAGGCGAGCACATAAAGCTGTCTTTTGCCGAGTCAGACCGCTGGTCCATCTTGCCTAACCCTTGTCTACTCTGCAGTTTCATTATTTGCCCTCGCTGCAAAGAATATACTTATTGTATTTATTATTTATTGTTTATATTTATATCCCGCCTTTCCAGATATCTGGCTCAAGGCGGCTAACAACATTAAAATGGCATAAACAACCAAGTTAAAACAATAAATGCCATACCAGTTAAAACAACACCAATTGCAATTAACCCAACAGAAATGGTGGTAATCCGAATCCCATCCGACGATAGGGGTAGCATCCAGCAGAATCTCAGGCTGAGGATGTTCTAAAATTTCAGACCAAACGATGTTCCAGGCGCACTCATCAGTGGCAGCCCCTAATCGAAAGCCTGGCGGAAGAGCTCCGTTTTACAGGCCCTTCAGAACTGTAAAAGGTCCTACAGGGCCCTGATGTTTTCCGGGAGCTCATTCCACCAGGTTGGGGCTGCCACTGAGAAAGCCCTGGTTCTGGTGACATTCAGCCTGGCTTCTTTCGGACCAGGGAGGGTCAGGCGATGTTGCGACCCTGACCGCAGTGCTCTCTGGGGCACATATGGGGAGAGGCGGTCCCTCAAGTAGGCAGGCCCCTGACCATGTAGGGCTATACGTTCCAAGGTGGCATCAGGAAGGGGCATTATTTAGGCGACTATATTAAATTAGTCATACTTTGTTACT